ACAATAGACCCATCCTCTAATCGATGCATATATAGTTATGAATGCATACAAGAAGCTCTCATCTCCTTCAGTGTGTAGTCGTGTCACTGATCCTGGGTTAGCGTACTCTAACATATAAAGATATGTTGGCATTTTCTTGTATGACTCACTTGGTGATCGTCTCAATAATTGTATTGCTTTTTCTTTTGATCTCCATGCTTGCATGTAGCTTAAGTCCATACCATATGCTTTTTGGATGTCTCTCTGGATATCTGTTGGTGTATATATGGTTTTCGGGTCAACAAGTTTATCTTGTACCACAGCTGCAACAAAAGCTGAGACAGCTTGCTTTTGTGAACAAAATCTCTTATCAGTTAAACAATTGTGGACAGAATTGAAATCTGTCACTTTGAAAAGATTTGATGCTCGCAGGTTTGATGCTTTAAGTCTCCAAGTGCTTCTTTCATCCACGCATTCAAGGATATACCTGTTTATAATACAAATACAGTTATGTATCATGTTTTATTGGTAATAAACACACACAAAAATCCGTACAATTATATACTCACATGGTATACTCTGTTGGTATACTTATATACTGTATCAGTATCATATTTTGCTGATAAAAAATATAGGCAAAGCAGCACAATTCTATACTCACATAGTATACTGATTTAGCATACATATATACTATATTGGTGTTATGTTTTACTGATAATAATAAAGACAAACCAATACAGTTAAATACTCGCATAGTATACTGATATAGCATACTTATATGCTCTACCAGTATCACTGATAAAAAACACAGACAAACCAATACAATTCCATACTCTCATAATATACTGATTTAGCATACTTATATACTATATAGGTATCACATAGTTTTTTTACTTGAAAACATGCAGACGAACCTTCTTGGGCATGATTTATGAACCCGATATTGACATTTTTCTCTAACAGCATACTGTTTCATAACGAGAGCTAGCAGGTTCTTGTCTTCGTAAATTTGTCCTTTTTCAACATTTTGATGAAATTGATCAGTTATGATGTTTGCATCATCAAGTTCTAAAATGGCGTCATCTCCTTCTTGCACATCAAACGTAGTAATCATATCAGTGCTTTCAAATTGTGCAATTTCTAGTGAAATTGGAGCAACATCGAAACTAAAGGTGCTTGCAGCTATAGTGTTTTTAGCAAATGACATACACAGGGGAAGTGTTGTCATCCCTGCACTTGATTTTTTCAATTCCATATAAACACTAACACTCATATCGCTGCAAATTGTAATTGGTGGATATCCTTGAGCAATAGCATACTGAATAACTATTGTTTTACTGTCCTTTTGCAGTTGCTTTGCAATTTCTCTGAGAAGTTGTTCAAATTTAGGGCTTTATTAGAATTGCATCAACATGAAAATTTATGAAATTATTGTTATCATCCCATTTTCCACTATGTTGCAGCAGAATTGGAATATTTTCCATGATTCTAAAGTTATAATCACTTTTATGTCCAAAACTGAATCTCAACAATGCAAATTTCAACAGTGTTCGAAATCAACAGTGTTCGAAATTTCAACAAAACAACAGCGAAATCAAACCTCTAGATCTCCATATCTCCAAACCTAGATTAGAATTTTCAGCTAAAATTCAGAAGTTTAGCTCCGAAATCAAAATCAAACCAACAGCAAAATCAAAATCTGAAGAGAACAACGAAATTAAAATCCGAATCAGCATCTTCGATCTGTTTTTTCACACTTACTACTCTTCGATCAGTGAAAATCTCAATTTTGTGCGCTAATTTTCTGAAATTTTGAAGAGCTTCTGCATTTTTCCACGTTTGTGCACTAATTTTCTGAAATTTTGAGCAGCTTCTGTGTTTTTATACGTAGGGCATTAAAAGCGTGGGTAGTTATTTTGTTATTGTCGTTTATTTATTAAATGGGTAGGAGTTGTAATTATTTAGTGGATAGAATTCTTTAATGGGTAGGGGAGGGTAAATAGTTTCACTTTTATATGTAGTCCTGTCGTTTCCCCTTAATTAATCTCGACAGTGAAACTCTCTTTTTAATGTTGATAGTAACAACTCCATATATCTTCTTATCTGCTACTCCCGCCGGTCCACTTTAATTGATTTTTTAACCTTTTTTTAGCCCACAATATTTGATTTTTTTAATATATAAAAAATTAACTTATTTTTTTCAAAGTTACCCTTAGAATAAAGAGCCTAAGAGTATTTGTTGTATTTTCAAGGAACAAATTGAGGTTAATTCAGTCAATTACATTATTAATTAATGCTAAAAGGTAAAATCCTTAATATGTGAAAACATCCAAAAAAATCACTTAAGTGGACCAGAGGGAGTACCATTTTAGATTTAGTATCTCTTAAGGCATACACACACTGAAAAATGTTTTAACTCTTACATTAATACAGTGCATGAATTTATCGGATGTTATGAGAAGTCAAACAAGGAAATGGAATCAATGAAGGCCCAAGCTTTTTTCCATCTTCATTACGCCTGTGGTGCAGGGGCCTGTTTAGCTGAAATACTTGCTCAAGACACCGATGTCGGTGAAGTTCGTTACCTGATCTGCTAAAAGTTCCTTTATACATTTTAGAAGTTAATAGATTACGTGTAAATTGCACTTCGAATTATTCCAGAACGCTAAAACTCAGGCAAATGTGCTATATCAAACACTTGTATAGCTTTGTGGCAGGCAAACTGCAAATCACAATTTAAATCTTGCGGTTCTCCAACCACAAGACAGCAAGAATATCAGCATAAGGCAAATAGAGTATGGGTCCATTCCAGGGTCTCATCACGCATCAGCTTGATACAGCACGAAGCCAACCCTCTGATATCAGTACGAACAGCTTGCCATTATCCGATGTACATGGAAAATATCAGCACTATACTACAAAAATGAACATCGATATAGTTGGTCATGCAAGAAAGAGAAGCTATACACAACAAGACAAGTAAAAGACAATCCGCATGGAGGGCTGCTGCCTTCCTATATCAAGCCATAACAATTTCCAGAAGGCAATTGGAGTTCAATTCACCAATACAATATTGAATGCACAGGAAGGTAAACCAACTCAAATAGGCAGGTCAAACCAAACCACTCAAGGGTCACAATCTGAAAGACATGCAGGGTAAACATTCAGCAGACAGCAGCAGCACATCCAAAGGCACTAAGTTTTACATGATAGCTACCTACTGAGTTCTCTTAGAAGACTCGGGAAGAATGTGATAAATTGTCATTTGTATTCATGGAAACCCAAAATTTTTACATACTTCACCGGTTTGATTGAATTCTTTTCATGAGATCCTTCCAACACAAACACCAAAACCTACCTCAGCTCCAACTTTTTGCCAAAAGTTAAAAGGCCTGATGGAATTTGGTCTTGATAAATGCACTTGATTCAAACATCCTTGAAATCACCACAGTAATTAATTTCAAACCACATGAGGTGCCAAAACACAAAAAGTGATAAAACACACAATACAGGAAATAATTTTGAACCATAAGGAGCAGTTGCAATAAGGGATGACAAAAGGATCAGTTTCTTTCTGTTCCAAAATTTACGAACTTGAATTAATCATTAGTTATACTTCACGAGCTGGAGTTCTCTTCATTTTCTAGCACCATATGATCTTTTGCAAAGATCCATCCCTTGGAGCCCAACATATACCTCTTAATGCCATTGAGCTACTTCTACGTAAATTTAGCAGATCTTTCTTCTCCATAGATCTTGGCCATATAACACCAACAAGATTTACAAAGCCATGAATACCATAAGATCAATGTTATCCGGAAATTCGATCTTGCCTAAGGCCATTGGTCCCAATTTATGATCTAAATCCTGTGGACAATTGTGGCAAACAATAAATTACAAGAGGAAAGAAACTATTGGAACTTACCATCAAGGAACCACATGAGGAAAATCTGAGCATGCCAGCTGACAACACCAGTTAGCCCTGAAAGGACATCTGGATATGACATACTTGAGGAAAACAGCGTGAAAGATACAAGTAAAAGACCTTATAACAGAATAATCAACAGACACTTCTATTTATCAGTCCAACAACACACACACCCACACACACATTATATGTAGGTAAGGACAACTAACATACTTTTAAAGTGTTAATAACAAGAGGGAAGGCCAAGCTGGATTAGCCATGGCCAGGAGGTCATTCCAAACTTGTGCCACTCTCATCCCAGAGAAAACAAAACTTACACATTTCATCTTGGCTGAAATTCGGCCGGCTAAGCTTACCCCCTTCTTTGCAGCTCACAATTTGATTTATGGCACGAGTGTACATCTCATGCACCTTTTCTAAAAAAAATTATAGCAAAAACCACCGCAGATAATACATCAATTACTTCTAAGAAGCTTCCATAATCAGGGACTTCGTGCAGGTTATCGTACAGACTGGCACAATTTTTTAATAGTCTAACACAATAGATTACTCAGACTTTGAACCCCAGTACAGGGAAACAATCCATCAATCTATTGCACCAACCACAAATAATTTGGTTCAACTATGAACCCTTAATAGGCATTCCACGATACTCCAGTCTAACTCTATTACACTCTAATACAGTGAGGGGCATGATTTTTTAAAATAGTTTAGGTTTCAAAAATTTACTTAATTGAAAATCAATTCTTCCTCAGGATAATAGTTTCTAATAGAGCTTTGGGTACCTAATGTTCGGGGAATCTTAGAAGCACAGTTGGTTGGCTACCTGAAGTTCACCTTGCTGGTGAGGGCACCTTGTAATCCCCTCCCCATTTCCCCTTCCCCCTATATATAATATTAAAACAAAAAAAGATACCTAACATTCAGATAGTTGCAACATAGAAGTATTCTGAGAAAATGGAAATATATGAACAAATTAAAGTATTCAAGACAGCCATCAAACTCCAGAACACCATTTGTTGCATATGAGGGAAGAGAGACTCAGACTGGAATTTTCTGTGTCTGGAGACCAGAATGCCAAATACATCAAGAATGGAAAGACCAACAACCAGGGATTTAATTCAGATTCATGATCCCAGGAACACAAGTTCAAACCAGGAAAAATTGCCAGAAAAAATTAAGAAATAAGGTCATATAACTTCAATGTCCAAGCTACTTTGTACTCTTAAATTGCAAGGTCATAGTACTACAAAAGTAGATGTTTATCTTGCCTCTAAAAACTAATTATTGTTCAAACTATACAAATTTTGACCAGCAAGTAAATAAACCCCCATATAAGATCATGAACTGCCACGGACACCATCTTCGACATTAGAATTTATCACATACACTGATGACAAGGAATTTAGGGAATATCATCTCCAAAGGATAATAAAAGAGCCAGCTAGCCAAGGAGGAAAGACTGCCCATTTTTCTCCATTTAGATGAAAAATAAGCAAGCACTTTTTCAAGGCACATACAACAGAGTATCACATGATACCCAAGAAAATTCCCAACCAAATTTTTTTAGTGCCTCAAGAAACAGTTCGCCCATAACAAACAGATGCAATGTAAAGGTTCTTGGCCCATTTCTCCTGCAAAAGGTAACATAACTAGTTAGGTCTAGGACCAGGGAAGGTAAGCAGAAGGCGAAAGAAATGGTCCCCATAAAAATGAAGCGATGACAGATGGAATAAATGACCTTGACATGAGTGCTAGGAAAGGCAGAAGTACGAAGTGTCTCTTGTGTTTCATCCGCAGGCTTCCTTCTTGGAACACTTAGAACAAGAGCAGTTTGATCCCATGTGGCTGCAGTGGACGTGATACGGTAACCAGCATCCCACCTCCTATGAACCCCTTCACTAGGATAGAGAAAATCTAATTCCACCACCTGTAAATTAATAAAAACACATGATTACCAGATATCAAAACAGAGTGCACAAAGAGGATAAACTAATAAAAAGTTTTTAAAAGAAAATTTCACAAGAAAAACCTGATCAGAGAACCCAGCCCCACGTGACATAACAATTGCCCATCTACTTCCTGCAGTTGCCATTGCCGTGACATAGAACCCCTCTCTCCATTTTTTGTTTATCCACTTGAAAGGAAATGACTCGCTGACTTTGTAGGACTGCTGCAGATACTGAGTACCTGATGTTTACCACAGAACCTACTTCAGCCTGGTTTAATTCACACGCACTGTGACAACCGAAGTATAACAAGTATAATTTTTAACTGACCCTTTGACATAACTACTAAAGAGCTCCCATTATTTGCTCCCGCTATCGCACTAATATAATAATTCTTCTCCCATTGCTCCATGATCCACTCCTACATTCAAACATAAAATATGAGGAATTAGCAGAATCCTACCAAAGTGAAAGAAAGAATTGTATTTTCATCTGCCACAACATTAGCAGAAATATATTAGATTGCGTATGCAACAAAAATTTGACTACTCTTCAAGATTGACCACTCAACAGAAGATAAAAGACCTTGTGAAGAAAAAGAGGTGACAACTCATAAACTTGAGCAGTGAACCCAGTCCCTGCATCCATAATTAGGGCCCACAAGTTTGAACAGGATGCCACACTGCTAATGAATAGTCCATCCTCGTTTCCTTTCTCAATGTGCTGAGCCAGCCTCGTATCAGCAACGTTATAATGATACCTACAAATGCCAGTTATGTCATTTCCTTTTACACAAGCTAAAGACCAAGAGATATCAGGTGCAAGTATATATATACCACCTTTGCTTCATTGGGCGACGAGCATTGTAGACACTAATCCATTGCGTTGCAGGCATTCCCATTCGTACTTTCTTCTTTGGTTGTTCATCGTCATCTTCTTCCATCGTAAGCCTTCCTCTCTTTTGTCCAACTTGATATATAAGCTTCAATAACATAAAATGTGTTAGAAAAAATTCCCCTGTCACTGATTTTCAAATTCAAGGATGCCCTGAATTATGAAGATGTCAGGTTATACCTTCTGTGCACCATCAGTGTTGATTGGCCTGATTTCTGGGTTTGGACCTACTATTCCATCAAACAGTGAGATATATTTCGCATAATTAGGTTCCTCGTCAAAGTTCAAGTTAACAACATATTCCACAAACTGCCTAAATGGAGCAGGGCAGAAGCAGCAAAGTGTATCTGGAGAAGTCGCCATCTTTTTCTTGCAGACAAGGAAACCTTTATTCTCACCCTATAAAAATCACTATCATGTGTCAACAAAAGGGATCTGTTAAGAAGTAATACTGCAATTTAAATCAAGAAAATGCTAACCTGATATCCCTGCCAAGGCAGCCGGCCTCGGAGAAGAAAGATGAGAGTGTAAGCCAGCGATTCTAGGTCATCCCTCCGGCTTCCAGTTCTTCCGAGGTGAGCGTGCACACTAGCATACCTTACAGTTCCCCTAGAGCAATGATTTTCTTACTAAGTGAATCCAGTTTGGAAATGCAAACCAAGGCACACAACATAGGGAGTAACTGATGACTACTGTACCTAAAGACATCAGGCCTTTGGTCATACTCAACATGAGAACCAGTTGAAGTATCGCGCCACCTTGTTGCTGCAACACTCAAACAGGTAAACACATAAAAATGTTGCACCAAAGATAGAACATGATGAAGATTGCTAAAATAAAATATAAAAGAGATGACTAAAAGTTATCGAATTTGTTGTCTTTTATGACAAAAGCTATATTTCCATGTATACCTAATCCAAGGTCAACCAGAAAAAGCTTTTTCTCGTCAGGAGTTCCAGGAGTCCCAAGAAGAAAGTTTTCAGGTTTCACATCTCCGTGCACATACCTGCAGAACAACAGCACCAGTATGACAAGATTATTTCAGGTCTGTCAAAGGAATTCCTGTACAGAACAACCACAAAACAATAAGTTCACTTTTCCACAGCAACAACAACAACGACCCAGTATAATCCCACAACTGGGGTCTGGGGAGGGTAGTGTGTACACAGACATTTTCCACAGCCAAACCCCATATTCTATCCACAAACCAGAGACTAACAGACGCAAGATGTTGTGTGTTTGTACTTTCGTTGGAAGATAGATAGGTGGTTGAGGATATGTTCCCACAATGAGGCACCCAAAGGTGTTGCCTAGTGGACAATGAAGTGGGTTAAGAACCATGATATCTCAGGTTCAAATCCTAGTGGAGACACACACTACGTGATTTCTTCCCACCAGTCCAAGCCTTAGCTTAGTGGACAGAGTTACTTGGTACCTGTTGCTGGTGGGAGGTAGCAGGTATCCCGTGGATTTAGTCAAGGTGCGCACAAGCTAGCCCAGACACCATGGTTATAAAACAAAATGAATGTACACCATATCATCATAACCCAGAATACATAATTTCTGCCTAAGATGGAACACAGCCTTTAGCCTGTAGCGGGATGATAACCGCAAATCCATACTTACCCTCTAGAGTGCAACTTCTCAAGTATGGATATTGCTTCAATGGCAATGCATGCTACCATTTCAATAGACATCCTGAAATGGACAATGTAAAAATAAACAGAATGTCATTCAATTCCAGCAAACAGCAATACCTCCTCATAAAATTATAAATACAGAATGGAGCTTACGCATGAGAATTATTGTTCCAGACATCCCACAAACTAGGACCAAGCATATCCATAACCTACAAGCATACAAAAACATTTCTGTAATTTCATGGAGATTAAAGCGGAAATCCAAAGAGAGACTATCATAAAGTTATACTACAGTAAGCAAATCACATACCATAATGTAGTAATCACCTTGTCGTCCCTTGTAATGGACACGTGGTATCCCATGACTACCACCAAGGGCACTGCCACAAAGAAAACATGCTATCAATTATAGGACAGTGTTTTTACCAGATATGTCACAATAACTAAGAGCTACATTACGAACGAATACAAGAAAAAGATTTACTTGTAGACCTGCCACTCATAAGGTGGTCCATAGTTACAACCTTTGCTACTTCTATGCTCAAATTTCAAGGCAACCTAGAACCAAATATGTCAATATAATCAACAAAAATATCAAAGAGAATGATCTTCAACTTTCTTGGGGGGTGGGGGCGCGGAGGTAAACACAGATGCAGAATGTAGTGCTTACCTCTACAGCTCCTGCGCCAGTTCTTTCGTGTGGATGTGACGGATTTACCCGACGACCTACATACACTTGACCAAATCCTCCTTTACCAAGCTTTTTGTCAATCCTATAAGCTGGTGATCCACCAACCTGGACCTGTTACACATAAAAGGAGATATTGCAATTGCAATGTTCAAGACGAATCCTTCAACCAGAAAGTGGAGGGAAAAAACAAGAATAGCCACAAAAACTCATATACGCTCCCAGCACTATAGACACAACATAATGTCATCAAACACCAAGCACATTTATCAGAGCAACCAACATCAATGAAAATAACAAGAAAGCATACTCCGTTTCCTCAAAACTTGTCAAAAAATAAAAACTTCATAGATCAACCCAAAGCCAATTATAAAACATCAAAATCTTAAAAGATATGGAGAGAAAGTTTGCCTGACTAAATACCCAGAGGTTTGTTCAGACAACCAACACAAGATAATAGACCAAAGAAACTTGATAAATTCACATAATCTTAAAGACTTATACAAACAAGACCTCAAGACCCAAGGGTGTGGCCCGGTGGTTAATGAAATGGGAGGAGAACCATGCACTCTCGGTTCAAATCCTAGAAGAGTATTAAAAAAACACTAGGTGGCTTCTTTTTTTGCTTAAGCATTACTACACAGAGTTAACCAGGTTGTAGGTACCCATGAAATAGCAAACCACCCTGGACACCATCGTCATTAAAGAAATAGACAAAGAAGATCTCAATTTAAAATCTCTTCCATAAACAAATTATAGTGAACAAGAGGCATAGACAAGCGATCAGTACGAATTGCAGAGCTTATATATACAACTAAAAGACTGAATCTTCCATCATCATCATCAAGCATAAACAAATTAAAAATTAAAAAATTAATTTTAAAAACACAGCATCAAAGCACTGTTGAACTGAAAGAGAGTAAGCAGAAATACTGAACTCTAGAGAGAGACAGAATAAGAAGAAGAAAATCGTACCCTTTCAGGAAGGGGAGCAATGCTACCTTCTTCCTCAGCTCCCAAACCCTTATCACCGCCGCTTCCACCGCCGCCACTAACGTACTCATCCATTTGCTGTTTTTTTTCTCCTTCCTCTACTTCCTTCTTCCTATCCTTATCCTCCTCTGCTTCACCAGTCCTAGACCTTGTCGTTTTCTTCACAGCATTCTCCTCCTCATCATCATCTACCACTACTATAGG